AAGTTGTTAAAGGATACCTCCCACTTTCTCTTCTAAGAGGTTCACTGTGGCTGAATTTATGTTGAGGTCTTTGATCCATTTGGACTTAAGTTTTGTGTATGGCAATAGACATGGGTCTATCTGCACTCTTCTACACACCATCATCCAATTGTGCCAGCACCATTTGTTGAAGATGCTTTCCTTCTTCCATTATATAGTTTTAGCTGTTTTGTCAAAACTCGGGTGTTCATAGGTGTGTGGGTTAATATCAGGAATTTTTATTCAATTCCGTTGGTCTACCTGTCCATTTTTGTCTCAATATCAAACTGTTTCCAGAACTATAGCTCTGTAGTAGAGCTTGGAGTCAGGGATGAGGATACCTCCCGAAGCTCCTTTATTATACAGGGTTGTTTTGGCTATCCTGGGTCTTTTGTTTTTCCACATAAAGTTGAGTATTATCCTTTCAAGTTCAGTGAAGAATTGTGCTGGGATTTTGACAGGTATTGCATTGAATCTGTAGATTGCATTTGGCAAATGCCCTTCCCAGATAGTGAGATCAACAACTAACTTATCCACCATCATGGAACCCTCATCTACTACCTGCTGGAAACAGAAGCAAACACCCATACCTAAACACTGAGTTGAACTAGAATCCAGATGCAGAGGGAGAGGACAAGACCAGGTTGCTGAAACACATAGAGACAGCTGACCTGAACAAGGAGGAGCTAACGGGCCCCCAGACTGATAGCTGGAAATCCAGCATGGGACTGACTCGGGCCCCCCTGTATATGGGTCTCAGCCAGAAGGACTGAGCAGTCTAAGGGACCTCAGACAGTAGAATCAGGATGTATTCCTGGTACACAAAAGGACCTTGAGGACATATCTCCCATGGAGGGATACTGCCTTAACCTAGAGACAGGAAAGAAGTCCTAGTCCCTACTTCAAATGGTTTGACAGATTTACATGACCCCACCTGGATGGCATTGCCCTACATGTAGAATTGGGGTGGGGGATGGGAGAGGAGGGTGGTCAGGGTGCATGTGAGGGGGGAGAGAGGGTAAGAGAGAGGGAAGGATGGAGGGAGGGAGAAGGAAGTAAGATCGACATGTAAAATAAAAAATAAATTAATTAAAAAATAAAAAAAAATAAAAAGATTGACATTTTTACTATGTTTATCCTACCTATCCAAGAGCATGGGATATCCAATAATACGTCTTTCTTTAAAAACACAAAGTTCTTGCTGTATAAGTATTTCACTTACTTGGTAAGCATTACCCCAAGACACTTTATGTAGTTTGTGGCTATTGTAAATGGTGATGTTTCTCTGATTTCTTTCTCAGCCCCTTTATCTTTTTTATATAGTAGGGTTACTGATTTTTTTTTGGTTTATCTTTTATCCTGCTAATTTGATGGAGGTGTTTGTCAGCTCTGGAGTTCCCTGGTAGTTTTTTTTGGGGGGAGGTCATTTACATAAACTATCATATCATCTGCAAATAGTGAAAGTTTGACTTCTTCCTTTCCAATTTGTATCCCCTTGTTCTCCTTTTGGTGTCTTATTGCTTTAGCTAGAACTTCAAGTGCAATATTGAAGAGAACAAGAGAGAGGTCTTGTTCCTGATTTTAAAGGGATCGCCTTAAGCTTCTCTCCATTCAGTTTGATGTTGGCTGTTGGTTTACTGTATATTGCTTTTATTATGATTAAGTATTTTCCTGTTATCCCTGATCTCTCCAAGACCTTTATCATGAAAGGGTGTTGAATTTTGTCAAAGGCTTTTTCAGCATCTACTGAGATGATCATGAGTTTTTTTCTTTTTCAGTTTGTTTATATGGTGGATCACAATGATAGATTTTCCTATGTTGAACCATCCCTGCATCCATGGTATGAAGCCTGCTTGGTCATGGTGGGTGATTTCTCAGATGTATTCTTAGATGCAGTTTGCCAGTATTATATTGAATATTTTGCATCAATGTTCATAAGGAATATTGTTCTGTAGTTCTCTTTCTTATGTCTTTGTGTGGCTTGGGTACCAAGACTATTTTATCCTCATGAAAAGAGTTTGGTAAATAACATTCTGCTTCTATTGTGTAGAACAATTTGAGGAGTATTGTTATTAGCTCTTCTTTGAATTTCTGATAGAATTCTGCACTTAAGCCATCTTGCCCTGGGCTTTTTTTGGGTGGGAGGCTTTTGATGCCTGCTTCTATTTCATTAGGGCTTATAGGTCCATTTAAGTTGTTTATCTGTTCTTTATTTAATTTTGGTAAGTGATAACTATCCAGAAATTTGAACATTTCCTTTGAATTTTCAAATCTTGTAGAGTACAGGTTTTCAAAATGTGACCTGAAAATTCTCTGGATTTCCTCATTGTCTGTTGTTATATCACCCTTTTCATTTCTGAGTTTGTTGACTTCCATGTTCTCTCTCTCTGCTTTTTGGTTAGTTTGGATAAAGGTTTGTCTTTCTTGTTGATTTTCTCAAAAAAATACTCCAACTCTTTGTTACATTGATTCTTTGTATTGCTTCCCTGGTTTCTACTTTATTGATTTCAGCCCTCAAATTGATTATTTCCTGGCATCTACTCCTCTGGGGTGAGTTTGTTCTTGTTGTTCTAAGGGTTTCAGTTGTGCTGTTAATTCTCTAATGTGACTACCCTCCATTTTCTTCATATGAGCACATAGTGCAATGAACTTCCCTTGTAGCATTGCTTTCAAAGTGTCCCATAAGTTTGGGTATGTTGTGTCTTCATTCTTGTTGAATTGTAGGAAATCTTTATTTTCTTTTTTTATTTCTTCCTTGACCCAGGAATGGTGCAGTTTTGCATTGTTCAGTTTCCATGAGTTTGTAGGGTTTCTACAATTTGTTTTGTTGTTGAATTCCAACCTTAAAGCATGGTAGTCTGATAAGATCCATGGGAGTATTCCAATTTTTTTTTTTGCATCTGTTGAGGTTTATTATGTTGCTTAGTATGTGGTCAATTTTAGAGAATGTTCCATGTGGAACTGAGCAGAAGGTTATTCTTTTGTGTTTGGATAGAATGTTCTATAGATGTCTGTAAAACCCAATTTGGACATAAATTTTGTTACTTCTTCTGTTTCTTTGTTAAGTTTCTGACTGGTCCTGTCTAGTGGTGAGAGTGGGGTGGTGAAGTCTCACACTATGAGTGACTGAGGTTTTATGTGAGCTTTGAGTTTTAGTAGTGTTTCTTTTAAGAATGTGGGTGCCTTTGTATTTGCAGCATAGATGTTCAGAATTGAGACTTTGTACTGATGGACTTTTCCTGTGATGAATATTCATGACCTTCTTCATCTCCTTTGATTGATTTTGTTTGAAGTCTAATTTGTTAGATATAGAATACTATACCTGCTTGCTTCTTGGGTCCATTTCATTGGAAGATCTTTCCCAAAACTTTTGCCCTGAGGTAATGTCTATCTTTGAATCTTAGATGTGTTTCTTGTATGCAGCAGAAGGATGGATTCTGTCTTAGTATCCATTCTGTTAGCCTGTGCTTTTTTATAGGCAGGTTAAGACCATTAATGTTGGGGGAAAGTAAGGACCATTGATTATTAATTCTTGTTTTGTTTTAGGTTTGTTTTTGGCAGTGGAATTGTGAGTATATTTGCCACACTTTTTCTTGTGGGTTCTGGTGAAGTGGGATTATCTATTGCCTATTTCTTTCTGAGTGTAGTTAACTTCCTTGGTTTGGAGTTTTCCTTCCATAACTTTCTGTATGGCTGGATTTGTGTATTTGCATTGTGAAAATGTAGCTTTGTCTTTGAATAATAGAGGGGCCATTATAGGTTTTAAAAAAACTCTGACTCTAGAGAATTATCCAGAGACCTACAAGTATGACTCCAACTAACAGTCTGCACAACAGTGGAAAGGCTACCTTGAATGCTCTTGCTTAATAATGAGATTGATAACAAATTTATATGCCATCATGGAGCCCTCATCTAGTAGCTGATGGAAACAGAAGCAGACACCCACAGCTAAACACTGAGCCCAACTCCAGGAATCCAGTTGCAGAGAGGGGGGAGTGATAAGAAAAGTGGTCTAGTCTAGGCTACAGAAACCCACAGAGACAGCTGATCCTAACAAGGAGGAGTTCATGGACCCCCCAAGGCTGATAGCTTGGAAACCAGCATTGGACAGACTCAGTCCCCCTCCCTGAACCTGGGTCTCAGTTAGGAGGCCTGGCAGTCTGAGGGACCTCTGACAGTAGAACCAGGATTCATCCCTGGCGCATGAAAGGACTTTGGTGCACATTCCCCATGAAGGGATACTCACTTAGCCTAGAGGCAGGAGGAAGGGGCAGATTTAGGTGATCCCTCCTGGAAGACATCACCCTCCCTGAGGGGGTGGTGGGATGGGAGGGAGGTCGGGAGGTATGGGAGGGAGGAGGGAGAGGTAACTGGGATTGATATGTAAAATAAGAAAAATAATAAATATTTAAAATGAAATAAAAATAATCAGTGAGATGACAAAGACATTTGCCAACAAGCCTAATAACAAACCTGAGCATGATCCCCAGAACCCAAATATAAAAGGGATAATTTCAAGTATCCTCGACCTCTGAGAATATGGCACATTTCTGTGTGTACATGCATACACACAGATGCAGGCAATTACCTAAAATATAACAAAAGTTAAAATAACACATGGAAAGGAAAACAAAACCGGAAGAACTGAGCACCAGTATCAGTAAGTAAGAAAGCACTCAAGGATCTAGAAAAGGCAGGAAAAACCCTCTCCTAGAGCTTCCAAACCAAAATAAAGTTTGTCATTGTCATCACTTCAGACCACAGAGTCTTATGTTGGACACCAGAACTCCAGAACTATAAAATGATAAGTTCCTCATATTCAAACATCAGGGTTTGTGGTGATGTGTTGCAGAAGGAGGAGAGTGATACTGAGTGCTCCTTTGCACTTTTGTATAAAGATTTTTCATACCAAAAGTCATAGGAGAAGTAGAACCCATTATATATGCTGAGCTCTGCAAATGTCTTTATTACTGTCTGGACTCTCAGGCAGAAGGGGGAAGTGTGAGGTCCAGGGCTGTGTGGTGCAGGCAGCTGGTGAGACTCTCAGAGGAGGTTTTTGCTGGAGGCTGAAGCACTGTGGGAGGAGTACTATAATGCTGCTGACAGTAATAATCCCCCAGGTCCTCAGCCTGGACACTGCTGATGGTGAGAGTGAAATCTGTCCCAGACCCACTGCCTACGAAGCGGTCAGGGACCCCAGTATCTCGATTAGATGCAAAATAGATCAGCAGTTTAGGAGCCTGCCCTGGTTTCTGCTGGTACCAGTTCAAGTAGTTTGTGCCACCAGATAAAAGGCTCTGACTGGACCTGCAGCTGATGGTGATCTTCTCTCCTGCTGACACAGCCAGGGAGGATGGGGACTGGGTCATCACGATATCTGCACAGGCACCTGCGATCAGAAAACCAATAATCATGTATTATTTTAAAAAAACAGAATTTAATGCAGATCAGATTTGTCATTTAATATTTTTGTAGTGCCATATTGTCAGAGTTTTGTTGCATAAAAATATTACACTTTGGCACAAATTATGAATTTCTTTTATACAAAGAAGTGACTGAAAATACTTTAAAACTTTGAAATTTCTCACCAGACACCCAGAGCAACAGGGACATGAGGACCTGGGTCTGTGACTCCATCTTGCTCGCCCTGCCTGTGTGAAGCTGCTCAGCTCTCACTATCAAGGCCTGGTTAATAAAATCTGAGCAGCTGGGCTGGGTTTGCTGGGGGCATGCAAATCACCCAGCAAATACAAAAGCAGATGCCGGGGCAGTTGTGTGAGAGTGGCTGTTGCAAATCAACAGGCACATATACTGTTGGTATCACTGACAGATACTGGCTTACTAGGTTCTCTAATAAAAGCTTTGGTTAAAATCCAAGACATATTTAAAAGAGGTGATATTTGCAGAAATAGTAAGAGAGCTACCTCAGAGTGATAATCCTGGGGAAATGATGTGTTCAGAAATATTACAGCCTCAAATTACCACAACCACGACCACGACCACTGTCCTATCATATTTTGCAGACAGAACAGACTGTGAATCAAAGTTTTCTGTTGTTTTGTCCTGGATATTACAGTGCCAGTGTGGGTCACATGGGTCCATGGAAAGAAGACTCAGAAACACTCCAGGATAAACTTAGTCTTTGGGGCTCCAGCCTCAATGGACTGAAGTTCTTTCTTCTTGCCCTGAGCGTTTTTTCTCAATATTTGAACTTTAGCCAGTTGATTACCATATGCTCAGAATAACTTGAATGGGGCTTCCAAAAGTACAGCGCCAAGCGCAAAGTCTCCATTCGTCAGGTACCACAGGTTTCCGAGTTTCCCAACGTTTTGCTTCAGCTTTGTGTATCCTTGGGAAACTCTTGGACAAGATTCACATAGGATGGCAAGAGAAACAAAGGGTATCTTCAAAACAAAAGATTAATTAGGCCTAGGGGCTAACTTTCTTGAGCGAGGCCAGGTGTGAGGCAGTGGGTGTTAGGCCTAGTTTCTAATTCTCTATGCCAGAGCAACAGATTTCCTGCCACGACTTTTTTTTTTTTTTCTTTTGGTAGCCTGCAGAGTACCTTTGCATGTCATAGACTTTAGAACATGGCGGTTAGTAATGTTGTAGACAACAACTTGACTTCTCCTTTCTCGATGAGTTATGGCAATGGAGTTCCACTCTCATTTACAGAGACAAACTTTTGTCTTAGCAACAGCATGGGTTTTGTGGGATTTTCATGGGACATCCTTGGCCAAAAAACTAGTAGCCTAGTGATGCCACTAGCAGCCTCATGTAGCTAAAAGAGATGGCCAGATGATACTAAGTATCCCCCAGTTCTGGAAGTCCTCATTAGGATAAACTTCATAGATTCCAGAAAATTTACACTGCATTAGATTTACACCCATCCCCAATGGCCCCATCCAGTTCAAACAATCACTCTCTGAATTCTCTCTGCCTCCAACCCATTTCCCCCCAGACCTGATTTCCCTGCTCCTGTCAACACCTACCCCACAGGCCACCCGTAAAAGCTTTTCTGTTTCCTCTTCCCACGGAGATGCTTGCATTTGTCCTAGACTTTCCTCTTTACCTAACTTCTCTCAGCCGATGCATGGTAGCTTAGTATCATTTGCTTAATAATTAATATCTACTTATAGGCAAATACATATTACATTATCCTCCTAGGTCTGGATTACCTCATTCAGGATGAAATGTTTAGTTCCATCTATTTGCCTGCAAATTTTATGAAGTCATTTTTATTAACAGATGAGTAATATTCCATTATGTAAATGTACCACAATGTCTTTATCTTCTGCTCAGGCAAGTCAAGGTTGCTTCCTGTTTCAGTTATTGTGAATAATCATGAACATGGTTAAACAACTATCCTCGTGATGAGATGGAGCATCCTTTGGGTATATGTACAAGGGTTCTACAGCTGAGTCTGGAAGTAGATTAATTCTCAACTTTCTGAGGAACCGCCATATTGACTTCCAAAATGGATGTCCTGTTTATTTTTTTGGCCAAGGACGTCCCATGAAAATCCCACAAACCCCGTGCATTCCTACTTGCAAAGGAGGAGTGTTCCCCTTGCTGAATATCTTACTAGAATGAGCTGTTATGTGTGTTATTTGCTTTAGCCATTCTGACAGGTATAACATAGGATATCATTTGCAGTTCCCTGATAGCTAAGGATATTAAACATTTAAGTTTTTCTCAGCTATTTTAGTTTCCTGTTAAGAATTTTCTATGTAGATCTCTGACTCAGTTTTAATTGGACTACTTTCAGGAAAATGGGAATTAGTTTACCACAGGACCCGGCAATCCCCCTCTTGGGCATATACCCAAAAGATTCACATCCATGCAACAAAGATATCTATTCAACTATGTTCATGGCAGCAATATTTGTAATAGCAAGAACCTAGAAGCAACCTAGATGCCCCTCAATTGAAGAATGGATAATGAAGATGTGGCACGTCTACACAATGGAATACTACTCTGCAGAAAAAAATAATGGTATCTTGAAATTCGCAGGCAAGTGGATGGCACTTGAATAAACTATCCTGAATGAGGTAACCCAGTCACAAAAAGAGGAACACAGTATGTACTCACTCATATATGGATTTTAGACCTAGATCAAAGGATCACCAGCCTATAATTCACACTACCAGAGGAACTAGGATACAAGGTGTATTCTAAGAGATTCATATAAAGTCCCTCACAGAACTGGGAAGGGACAAGTCCCCCAGAGCTCAGGGGAAGTGGGGGGGGCAGCGAATGGAGAGAGAAGTAGGAGAAAACGAGGGGGGAGGAAAGGAAAACATGTGCGACCAGGAAGATTACTTAGTCATTTGATACCTACTTTTTTTAACTTCCTTATATATTATATGTACACTGTTTTCCCCACAGATCTCAGATATTCATCATTTTTTTGCAGACTACTTCAAGAAACATGGATTTTTTATGTCTACTGGTTTCTTGCAAATATAAAAGATATTTATATCACTTAGCTCTTTTGAATATTGTTCTCTGAGTCTCCCTTGCAAGTATGAGATAAAGATCAGCTGCAGCCTTGCTTTAAATGGTCTGGAATCCTTAGTTCAGCTTCTCAAATGAGGTTCCCTACTCAGCTTCTGGGGCTACTGATGCTCTGGATCCGTGGCAAGGACAGAAGACAGAAATAAGGTAAACAGGGATGCATGATGATCGTTGGGATGCTGCTGCCCTGCATGTGACTCAGTGCACTACACCAAGTACAAATACAGGACCTGTGATCTTCAGAGAGTTTGACAAGAACCTGTGTTCTGATGAAGATTGTCACATGGAAGGAATGAGATGATGTGAGCAAATCCTAGAGCATGGTTTGCAAACCTTGGCTCTGTTTTAAAATTGAATACTTTTAGTTTGTAAGTCACAGAAATGTTAAATTATTAAACAGATGGCCATATTGAATATGACATAGAATTTCTTTCCCAGGTGAATGTCTTTCCTATTTGCTTAAGAACCACTGGAGATACTGAGATTATCCAAACTACACTTTCTCAGTCAGCTTTGAAGTGTCAGTCTTCATCTCCTCAGCTCTAGTCAGAACCTCTTCTACAGTGATGGAAACAGCCATTTAGCTTGACTTCTACATAAACCAGTTCAATCTCCACAGCCCCTGATCTATGAGGGATCCAGCTGGGGTCTCTGATTGGTTCAGTATCAATAGACAAAGGGTAAATTTAACAATAAAAAGAGAGCAGAAAAAAGATAGTGGATGAATAAAAAGGAAGGGTAAAGAAGGAAAATGAGTGAGCAAAAGTGGAAAATTCTGAACCAATGATTTACCAAACTTTATGAATTTGCAGAGCACTGAATCCACTCCTGTCCTAAGTCAATAGACAGCACTGCAAACTCCTGAGCTGCAGTTTCTGGGCTGGGCATCCACCAGGAGGTAGACAGGCCCACAGTTCCTCATTTAAATATAATATTAAAATAGCTTTTAATGCCATTGTAAATGTCCGCCAAATAACCTTCCAAACATTAGAGAATAAAAAGAGTCATATGATAAACCAAAATCAGAAGATGAGAGTGCAAACTCAAGAACTCCTCAGGAAGGCATGCTGTAATTCAACACTGAAGCCCAACACTGACAAAATTTTCCCCTTTTCCAGAAGTTCATATCCTAGAGCCCAGGTGCTAAAACTGTGGGTCACTTAACAGATCCCGTCAGCAATAAAACAAAAATTGCCAACAATAAAATATATAAAAGCACATCAACCAAAAATAAATTAAAAGCAGATGAAGAGTTAATTTAAGGTGTTCTGGAAGCATGGACCTCTATTGCATTTTTTAATTTCTCTGCAGCCTTAATTCTGAACACTAAACATGCACACTTTTGACTATGCATGCCAACACATCTGGAACACTGCAACTGAGGCATGGGTTCAGATTTACCACTACTACTGCATGTTATATTATTCATTGCAGTCTTTTAATATACAAAGTTTTCTTCTCTGATAAAAACAATAGTTTAGTCACCTACCATTATTCATAACATGTAAATATCAATATCATATCTCCCTGGGTTCAATAGGGTTTAAATGTTTAAATTTACATGTAAGTGTTACTGATTTGACTTACATAAAAACTGGATAGATACATAGAGCCTAAATCCAAAGCAACAGAGGAACTAGGAAACAAGGGGAACCCTAAGAGAGAAATACATGGTCCCCCTAAGAAGGGGGAAGGGGCCAGATCTCCTGAGGAATCTGGGAAACCGAGTAGGGAAAGGGGAAGAAATTAGGGATAAGAGGAGGGGGCGGAAAACAAAAGGGACCAGGAAGACTGAGTCAGGGGAGGAATAGAGGAGAGCAAGCAAATAGATACCTTAGTAGAGGGAGCCAATGTAGGTTTAAAAAAAAAATCTGGCAATAAGGTAATGTCCAGAAATCTACAACCACTTGTAATACAGAGTTTTAGAGACCAGTAAAGTAGCTATAACTACAAAATACTCCATACCTAAGTCTCACCACATAATTTTTTTTAATTTTTTTTATTTACAATTTTTTTATTTAATTTTATATAACAAAGTCCAATTAAATGAAAACAAACATTTATACACAATATTTGGGAATTTGGGTGTCGTTCTTTCCAAACTACTTCCTGCTGGTAAGGGGCGCTGTCTTGGGGGATTCGAAGAAGATTCA